AGACCGTAGACTTGATACATTCCCTTGACTACTATACATCATGGTCATAGTTGCAGAGTGGAGTGATGGTATCCATCTCCTCGACGCATGACAACGAATGTAGTCGACCGACGGCTCCGTGGAAAGAGGCTTTCGGGCCAGGCGAACACAAACAGTCACACACACATACACAGACAGACACACGCACATGCATCGAAGTGGGCATATGACCGTAACTAACCGAATAACTTTATACTTGATCAAGATGTAGAGTAGAGATACCACTTTTTAGGGATTTGCCGGTGAGTCTTCCTGACTAGTAAGCTTGAATTTTGTTGTCACGATGGTACCTCGCTCTGATGATGTTCGTCACATGACAGACGAAGGAGATTGCCTCGGAAACAGCATCATCCTGAATGTTCCAGTAAGGCCAATCGACAGCTGATCGAGAGAAATCGGCCGTCATCTTCTGGTGGAACCGACCTTCAAATCTCTTCGCGCAACACTTTCCCTCGAAATGGAGGTAAGCTCAACAATTACGAAGCAGAAGATTGCTCGAAACCCAACTTTTCTTCGCATACAATTTCACAACTCCTGAGCTGGTCGACTGACGACCGGCAATCTGTGGGCAGATGAGCTGGTGTGTCCGGTGTCCGCAGGTGCCAACTGGTGATTGGTCAGAAAGGCAGGCACCAGCCCAGTCTGGGAGGACTCACCTCGGACGCCTTTTGGTCCCGGCATGCCTTGCGCACCCTGAGGACCCTGTCCGCCCGACTGACCGGGCAGGCCGATGGCACAGTTGGGCGTCAGGCCGGCGCCACCTTTGGCGCCGTCGAGGCCGGACACACCCTCGTCTCCGGGCAGGCCCGGCTCTCCGGGCAGACCCTGTTGGCCCTCGGAGCCCGGCAGACCCGGTCTGCCGGGCAGGCCAGACCGGCCGGGCAGACCGGCCTGACCGGGCAGACCGACGAGGCCCGGCGGACCGAACGGCCCGTTGTTGCCGAGCTCGCCGACCTTTCCTGAAACAGGAAGCGACGGAGGAGGAGGATGAAGAAAAGGCGGAAGAGAACAAATAAGAAATGTCGGTTAGAGCATGGAATGGCCAAAACAAC